TTTTTTTTTTTTTTTGATCGCCGTAATTTTTTTGCATGCTTTTCTGTAATATGAATCACTATTTACAACTGCAAGTCTCTTTTAAGTGAGAAAATAACTATAAAGAGACCGCTTTAGATTAGGAAAGAATCCTTACTTTCATCTTCCTGGATGACTACTTCAATAATCTCTGCAAGAGCTTCTGCAACTGCTTGTAATATTTCTGTTTCGGGATCTCGTCGACTTATATAAGTGACTGATCGTGGATTACGCGGTAACCTGACATCTGAATGAAAGCTTCTCCGAAGTACTACATGTCTTCTTTCTTTCATGCTAACATCAGAGCTGTGTGTATAAATTTCTAAAGACTCCTTCAAATATTCAGAGTTACTGAATCCACAATTTACATTTTCTTGGACCAAAATATCAGAGGTTGATGGTGAACAAACCGGATATTTGTCCAAAAGTCTTTTACTCTGTTTTTCAGCTGCCAAAATCGAGTAAGTTTCGAGTGGATCAATCTGCAATTATCTAATTTCTAAATACATAACAATTGATCTCAACAAATTACTTTAAACTTTTGATTTACTAACTTAAAACAATTCAAAAAAATCGAAGATAAACCATCTGTGCTTGTAATTCAGTATCCGGCACAGCCAACTCTTTTGTTGGGCTGCGAAAATGTTGTTGTAACAACCATCGCTTCATATATATCCGTTTGAATACACGCTCAGAACTGGATATACGATCCAAACGCTGCCATCGATCTTTTAGAACACAACTACGCAGCATTTGAATGAGAATCTTTCGAGCCTGTCAAATGAAAGATAATAACTTGCAACGTCACAAACGTAAAGTTTAGTGAGTGGAACAAAGATTAGGAATTTGAGATTAGGCAACAGTAAACTGAAACAAGTATAACAAAGACAGAAATGAACGCATTCTGAATTCCTCAAACAATTATTAATATAACCTTAGTATTCCTTTGACTTCAATTATGAAATAATTTTCTGTGATCATCTGACCACATTCGCTAATTTTAGTAGGAACATTATTCACTGCCAAATCACCAATCTCAAAACCTGCTTCGCTTCTGATTTAAGATAAAGAAAAACTGAGATTTTGAGATTGCATGTCTTCGAAATTTTAACTTGAATAGAAAATTAAATTTTCAAAGCAAACTCAAAAACAGGTTAGTAAACCTCTATATCAGCTTGACGAGATTCAGACTCGTATTTCTCAGTATTATCCTGGATCTTCAATGCATTTTCTGCACCGTCAACTGAAGTTGATTCTACTGGTTCTTTTTCTTTTTTTAGCTCTGTTGAATCGCAGCATGTAGTCTATACAGTAACAGACTTAGGTAAACAATCAGCATATCCAAATTTAGTGATTACCGACGTACAAGAAAATTTCAAAAAATAAAGACTTCAGCTTCTGGAAACATCACTATAAACATAACTACAAGTTTTTAGGAAAACTCACATGAAATGTATATTCATCTGAAATGCTTGGTGATTCACTTCGACTTGTTTGATCTTCATCAAAAGATAAAGGTGCCGTAGTTGATACATTCGACGATCCATCCCCAATTTGTTGACTTTTAGAACAAAGATTATCAGACACAGACATCCCCAAGCTGTAGAAGTTAACAATTGAAACTAGAAATTAGCCTATTTTAATTAGAGATTTTGAAAGACGCTTGTTAAAAGCATAACAATACAAACATTCTAATATATAATTTGTTTTGGTTTTAAAGCTTGGAAATGGTGAATAAAATTTATAAAGCACAGGAGTTACAAATAAACAACAATGTAATTACCCAAATACATGGTACATCAGATATGCAACATCTTCTAATTTTCGGAGTCTTTCGGTTTCTTCTAATTTTTCATCCATGTGTTCTCCAAGCACAGACATGCTCGAGCGACGCACTTGCTTATTTTGCGATGAGAAATGCCCTTCATCATTAAAATTCCCACTCTGGAGGTTCTCTAAAGTTGGTCCAACAACTTGAGCTTCTAGAACAGGTAGCTTGCTACGTGTTACCTGAAATCCAGTAAATTTTAAAAAGGCTTTAACAACGACAAGGAGTAGAGATATTCCAGCTTTTTGAGGCAAGACATTATTTAAAGATTTTAGTAACGAAGACAAACTTGTTTTTTTTTGCTTTTCAGTCCAGTATCACAATCAGAACTTATTTCACAAGAAAGAGGTAATGATACACAATGCTGTCCAGATGCTGTTACGGCACCATTATCAACGCGTGCTCGTCCACGTCGTTTTGGAATTTTTTCCGATAAAAACGAACTATCAACAGCTCTATAACACTTCATTTTAATTTTGCTTCCCATGAAAATATCTTATAGTAAATTTTGTCATTCTACAGCAAGTTACTGCCCGGAAAATATGAATGAGAAATTTTCGTATGCAGTCAAAAACACTTTTTCAATAACATATATCTGTAGTAGATTGATAAAATGTACATACTGTGCATCAACATCAATATTTGCAGACTTCCAAGTGAGTTCGTCATTAACACCAACAAAAGAATTTCCAATAACTTGATCAGCATTTATGAGCAACTGAAATATACAATTATGAAGAGTCTGTGCCTGATAAATTTACTATAAATGCAACAAAAAAATAGAATAAACCTTCATTTTTTCCGCATTAGAGCATTCAAAGTTTTGTTTTCTCATTCTCTTGCGTGGAGATATTTCCGTGACCTCAGAAACCCCAATCTGAAATTAAGAAACAAGTAAAAATATGAACACTGAATGTTCTATAATGATATCTGGAAACAAAACAAAAACTCAAACATTCAAAAAAGATAGACCAACAACATTGCAAATTTTTCTGCGATTTTGTTTGTAACTTTTTTACACATTTGAGCAGGACAAGTTAAACAATAACCTGGTTAGAATAATTCTCTACACCAGGTATAACACTGCCAATTAATATAGCGGGCGCTCTGGTATAAATTCCAGAGGTATCAGATGTCAAGCACGTAGTTTCATTTAGCAATCGACTATTGTCAACCGTTGAATGTTTAAAATACATCGAACTGAAAAGAAAAGTTATATTTGCAACAAATTAATAATTACGATACGGAACGAAACAACATTTAAAATTACTTTGCATCATCCTTCATTGCAGTTCCTGTACCAGCCAACACTTCTTGCTTTGAACTAAGCTGGGGATGAGCTTCTGCTACAATCAGACGACGCACCGTAGAATTGATACCTAGGTATTAAAAAATTAGTCCTACAAAGACTTTAAAAGAACTTTTACAAGTCCTCATTGAGTAATTACAGAAAAAATACTTGATTCCCGGTTTCTGCGTAGAATAGTAGGTCGTGCGCTAGGACCAGGATATGACATACCACCCATATTGTTATCATGCTGCGCTGCAGCTACAGCAATGCATGTATTATTTAATGTAGTGATTGACTGAGCAACAGATGTACATGTTAAATTTACAGTCGGTAGAGGCATCATGATAGATTTGATATCTGCTCCTTCAGAAATTTGTGTAACAAATCTTGTACTGCGTAAGAAATCCTGAAACCAGAAAAATTTGATCTGCATAAACTACGAAAGAAAATTGGTCAATTTCACTATTGACGATATTGTTCTGCGCTCACGTAGAAATTACAAGCTTGTGTAAGTGAAATAGCAAACCTTAGTAGCTAGTTTACAACTGGCTCGAGAAGAGAGAACTGCTGGCTGAAATGAGCTGATTTTTGAATAACACAAGGTTAATTTAAAATAAAAATAAAAATCGAAATTATAAATAGATTTCTAAGCGCCCATTAAAAATGTGCTGGAATGCATGAACAAAAAATTAGAACATACAGCACAATTAAGAACTGGATTTAACCGAACCGAACTTTGAACAGGCACATCACAAACACCAACGTTCCGACCAGCCAAATGCCGACTGCAAAATTAAAATTTACTGAACAGAGCTCCACACTATGCTTGCATCTAGTTGGCAAATACAAAACATTAATTTCAGATAAGAAAAGCATTTCAAAATTCTGATTCAGTGAAAAATTAGTATGAGCTCTCATACTATACAGAGACAATTCAAAGTACTGCATAATATAGATAAAATAAATGGTCGTACTATGAATCAAAGTTTGCAAAAGTTGCTGTAGAAGGTCGAACAGCATGTGATTCATCAAAGTCATGAATAAGTGGGGACGATAATGGAACAACAGGTTGATGAACATTTGCAACATGCAAATTGTGTTGTTGTTGCTGCTGCTGAAGATATACTGTAGTCATAGAGCTGGCATTAAGTTGGGCGATATCATCTACAAATGACTGTATCAATGTTAGTCTTGAATTAACACAATTTCCACTAGTATTAAAAAAAACAAAACAAAAGCGAGGCTATAAAAAATTAACATTATGATAGTTCCAGATGCTACAGAAGTCTCTTAGCATTCGCCATTTATTTTGATGACAACTGATCTTGCTAACTAGTTAACAAATTTTCAAACAGAAATTATTTAGTTAGATTTAATACCAAAACAGCAATATATTATATGAAAATGATGAGAATGATTTCTCAACTAACATGGTTTCAAATATGTATGAGCAATTCCTGCTGGTCGTAAAGTAACAACTTTAGATCGACCAGGAAGAGCAGCAGTGCACTGAGCAGCCGGCAAAACTGGTGCTGCAGTATGTGCATGCAGTATCTTCTGCGTAGCACCTGGACAACCTACAGGAACTGCTTGACCTGTTTGGTTCCTTATATAGGTCTGTAAATTAACATACCCTTCAGTCATAGACCGTGACCAAATTTAAAAAATCCAACTGATGAACTACGATTTTCACTGTTACTAAAAATTAGTAGAACCTTTAGAAAGTGCCTTGAGTTTGGTTGTACAGCAACATTAGGCATCATTGAGGCAACTCGAGCAAATGGCATACTAACTGGTTGTTGAAAAACAAATCGACTATCTTTCTGAAGATGAATAACATCAAACACTTCCAGAACTTTATTTTAGTAACTAAAAATAATGCTTTCATCCATCCAAGTCAATTTCAAAAAAACTTCGGAAAAAAATAAATTACTTTCTCCGCTTCATCAGCAGACGACATTGTTTCATCACAGGTTAAATCTGAAACTATAAGGCTAGTAACAATCATATGTGATTTATCGTAATGTCAAGTACTGGAAGAAAACAAGTGTAGTTAATTTGATATAAACTTGAACGAAAAGAAAATAAGAAACTTACCAGCTGACATTACAGATCCAGAAGGAAAACCTCACATTAAACGCACACAGAAATTATTCTGAAAAGTATCTAAATTAATGAAAAGTAGCACAGACCGCAGAAGACAACAGTTAAGAGCAAGTACACATTAATTTAAAAGAAATATCACATCGTGTTTCTAAACTGAACACGATCAACAACAAAAAAACAAGCGCTGTATCTAACATTGCGCTCAAAAAATTGATTTGAAGTTTCAGAGATTCACTGACAAAAAGAATGAAAAAGCAGTGAGCGCCTTATTTACTTTCCGTTGCTAAACAAATGAAAACACGACTGCTAACTAACTGCAACACAAATTAAATATGCACAAAATACAGAAATAAAGCATTAAAGCTCTCGGTGTTATAATATTTCCATAACGATGAGACAAGTTTATTGCCTATACCAAATATGTAAAATACAGAAAATATATAAGCAAAAATTGTAATTTTACTTCTGAATTGACTGCACGCAAATAATAGCAACTCGAAGCGATTTTAAAGAATTATTTATCAAAAACAGTGCTCATGGAGTGAGCAAAGAACCTATTAACTGATTTGGAGCATTTCCTTCTTCATTTTGCCTGTCAGATAAAAGTAGCAAATAAAAGTTCTTGCAATAAAATTAGCGAACTGTACACTGCAAGTTTTGACCAAATAAATTACTTTTCTAGATGTAATGAAAAAGAATGACTTGAAGGGAGTACCAAAAGCACAATTTTCATAAAAGCATTATTGATGATAAGTCGCATTGAAAGGAAAGTCATGAGTAGCATACAATTATTACAGATATCTACAAAAAAGTGAAAATAATGAATTGGACTAAAAAGGAACATTTGAAGTACAGATGATACCATTGCACAGCTACAAAAGATACAAAGTTGCGAGTTGGAAAGACAAAAGAAAGCTTACAAGTCGCCGTGAATCCTTTCAGCAACAGAAAAAGACAGCAACGCAGTAACGTATATCTAAAAAAACACACACGAGTGGAAAAATAAATAAATTGAAATTTCTTCTAGAAATGCATACAATCAGTGGCATAGGAATTTTCACGCGATACAAATCTACGTACAGAAGCGATAAAAAGAACGATTGCACAGAAAGCACTGCAAATAATTGCGACCATTACATTCAATTTTATCAAACTTTTCTTATGCAATAATAAC